TTCTACCTTTCCCCATTAAAGTTTCTGCATTTGGTTTTTATGTAATAGGAATAGTGGGCATTTTTAAAGAGATTCTGTTTAATTCTACCTTCGTAGAGGTGGGTTGGGGCCAGGCTTTTCCTCCACATAACCATCCCTTCCTCAATGTGTTGTTAGAGTGCCCACCTTCTATTTTCGTCGGCTATCACTTTCTAGAAACTTTGGTGGTGAGTTTTCCATGTAAGATATGTGGTGGTTATTTTTGGTGGTGGGTTGTGCAACATCTTCAGGCCTTGGACAAACATTAGATGACTATTACCTTAGAACTGACATTCATGGAAAAATGGACTGATTCTTGGTGGCTGGTGATGCTCCCAGGAGAGCAACAAGAGCAGTAGTTTCTTGTTAAGGAACATCTGAAAGCTTGGTGCTCAGGACCGAGGAATCTGAAAGATGGAGGTTCCTCAGAATTTTTCCTGTCTGAATAGTTTCTTCCTCTCTTTTCTACCAGCTGGTTTCCTTTCCCCAGTCTCTGCAGGCATGATCAAGTTGCTCTGCAAATATGCATATGAATCTTTCTGTATAATCTTTGTTTCTGCTTTTGAAAGGAGTGATTCTTTTCTGTGCTCAGTGTAATGGATCACTTTTGTGTGGCCTTTCTAGCCAAGGTCTTGTAACACCCACCCAAGTGATTGGGCAGGACTGTACAGATACGTAATTGTGGCCCACCAAAGGGATTGGTCAGTTTTACCATCCTGCTGGGTTTGAAACGAGCCACCCCAGAGGTAGGAGAAAGAAGATCCCACCACTACCAAGGAAGAACAGCCAGAAGCAGCATGTCCTTTGGACCCAGGATCCCTGCTGTGAGAAGCTCCTGGACCCAGGAGACAGGGAGCTGTAACACCGAAGGCAGCAAGAAATGGCAGTAGAGAATCATCAGCAGGAGACAGCCTGGTGGGTTTCCCAGCCCATGGAGAGAGAAAGCTGAGTGCCTTTGGGCAGAGGCTGAGGGCCAGGGAGAGGCTTGCCTGTGAGCATGACTGGGAAGAGGCTGGCCTGATGGAAGAACTGTATCCTGAGTCTTCCTGAACCTGAATTGCAACCTGTTACTTCCCTAATAAACCCCATAATCGTGGATATTATCTGTGAGTTCTCTGTGGCCATTGCAATGAATTACTGAACCCATCAGAGAAGTAGGGAGTGCCGTGGGAGGGATGGTTGGTGTCAGAATTGGTAAAAATGGTGGAGAGAGGAGCCATGTCTGACCTCTGCTTCATAGGAATCAGCTTTGGGCTGTTGATCTTAAGTCTTCTTCCTCCTTGTAAAGTTAGAGGAGGTCAGACACCTCCCCCTTGCCATTTTTACACTGTCTATGTGTGGAAGGAGGAGAGGCCGTTGGGGTACACAACTGAAGCAATGGCATTTTAGTTATTATGATGGCCACCTCCATCATTCTACATAATACATATATGCCTTTATCTCTTTGTATTAGTTTCCTGTGGCTGCTGTAATAAGCTACCACAAACTTGGTGGCTTAAAACAACAGAAATTTATTATCTTATAGTTTTGGAGGCCGGAAGTCTGAAATCTAGGCGTTGACAGGGCTGTGCTCTCTCTGAAGGCACTAGCGGAAAATCCTTCCTTGACTCTGCTAGCTTCTGATGGCTCCTGGCGTTCCTTGGCTTGTGGCTGCATCCGTCCAGTCTCTGCCTTCGTCTTCGTATGGACTTCTCCTCTGTGTCTCTCTATGTGTCCTTTCTTCTTTTTATAAGGACACCAGTAATTAGATTTAGGGCCCACCCTAAATTCAGGATGATGTCATCTCAAGATCCCCCATTAATTACATCTACAAAAACCTTGTTTCTAAATAAAGTCACATTCTCAGGTTCCAAGTGGACATGAATTTTGGGGGGACACTATTCAACCCAGTCAGTTATTATGGTAGTGTTGCAGAGAAAAGACTCTTTAACTCTGTTAAAGTAAAATCAAAGAGATTTATTGAAGCCAATATATTGTTCGAATGAGGGAATCATGGAAACCTCATGATCTGAAGCTCACGAATTCCGTAGAGGGGGTGCAAACCATAAACAGTTATAGTACTGTAGGAGGAACTACAAAGCACAATATTCTGATTGGCTTATCGTGATTGAGGTCAGCCAAAGGCAGGACAAAGCAAAGTGTGATTTTTTAACATTATTGGTTACATTAATACAGCTGGAATATGTTGATTGGCTAAAAGATATAATTACAAGGTATTTGCTTGCAGAGAGAATCTCATGACCGGCACAAAACAATGGCATGACAATGGCATGATGGATGCCTCCGGGAATGGGTTGTTAAACATTACCTTGGTCAGAGCATAAGATCTGGGGAGATTTAACACAAAGAGTTTTGATAATGTTTTGGTTACAGACCCCTGACCACAAAGAAAGCATTTCCTTAATAATAGGGTTGGTTCTTAAGCAAGAGGATTTGAATTTGTGTGAAAGGTCATACGCTGAGCCTTTAGCATTAGTTCAGCCGTTATGGGTAAATCAAAACATAGCATCTGATATCATTTATCATAAGATCATCTGAGAATCTCTGTGAAGTTTAGAGCTAATGCCTCATACTTGCATAATCAAAATGAGGTTAAGTGTTGTTACTTGATTTAAACATCAGGCAATAGAGATGTTAAATAATTAGCCTTGTGCATCTCCACTAGATCACACAGCTTATTTCTGAAGTGAATTTTGTAAGTCAGACGCTTATTGAGCTTTATTGTAAGATTCATTTATACTTCTTGGTGTTCATATTAATTATCTTGAAGTTCATTGCTGTAGCTGTAATAAACTGAAAGGGACCTTTCGGCTCGAGTTTTCAGATTTCTAACTTGTACATTTTCATGGTCATTAAAAAAAAAACACTTCTAAAAATAATTCATAGCGAGAAAAGGGAATATTAGGAGTGCGAGAGTAGCATATCAAGAGCTTCTGTAGTGTAGTATGGATATAAATGGGGTTGAGTTCAAGTCTTGGATCCACCATTTACCATTCCATTGTCTCTAGTTCTCTGTCCTCATCCCTTCAACCAAAAAACCAAACCCGTTGCCCTCGAGTCGATTCTGACTCATAGCAACCTTATAGGACAGAGTAGAACTGCCTCATAAGGTTTCCAAGGAGTGGCTGGTGGATTCGAACCGCTGACCTTTCGGTTAGCAGCTGAAGCTCTTAATCACTGAACCACCAGGGCTCCCTCATCCTTAGTGGGGATAATCATAGAACACTCTTCTTAAGGTGGTTGTGCAGATTAAGGGAGTGGTTAAGCACATGGTAAACATCTAGAATATGTTAGCTATTATTTCAGGTAGGAAATTTACTTCTCCCTAGGACCTGCAGGTGGAGTCATTGTTGAAGGCAGTTTTCTCCCTGTATGACCAGGGAATGTATGTTCTCTAGCGCACATGAGAATCCAGCTATGATTTACTGTGGTTACAAATTTACACACTCATAAAGAAATTTACAGTTTATTGCTTCCTTAAATAATATTCGGAGAACAATAGCACACTTTTGGCAGGCTTTAAGAGTAAGGTGTGAAAATCCATTTGCTTTTTGTATGACAAAAATTGTACATACTCCATAGAAATTTTGAAAATACAGAAAAGAATAAATAAAAGTAAAAATATATTCCTTGATGGACTTTAACATTTATAATGCTAGTGACCTAAATTTGGGAGTTTCTAATTATATTCACCAAGGTCCTGGTTTTTGAAATACTTAACTTTGCATTTTGAAGCCATGGTTAAATTTTAGTAGAGACAGCTCAGTTACTCATCCAGTTGTAAGTGAATTGGAGATATTCCAGGGACAGGTAAACCCTTTCTCATCGGAAGCACCTACCTGAGGGGTAGGGGAACAGGCCTCAAGCCCTACCCCCCACCCCGCAACTCTGGTGAAAGAGGGGGGTACCGAAGCCACCAGAGATCCGTCCCTGCTCCAGAACATCAGTGCAATCTCCTCTTGTTGCTGTCATTGATGAATAACAGGGGGCTTAAAAAAAATGAGACGGTTATCCAGGAGGGCTAAGTATTCCCTGCCAGCCTCCCCCGCCCCTGGGTTTTTTGAAAGAGTAGGCCTTTGCTCCTAATGCCCTTGACCTTGTTTTTGAAACCCATCAGGATGAACCACTAGCATTTGGGCTTACGAGATTTTACATTCCTCTAAATTTTAATACAATTTAAATGTCTGTATAAATATTACAGGAGCCCTTGTGGTGCAGTGGTTAAGTATTAGGCTGCTAACCAAACGGTCAGCAGTTCGAACCCACCAGCCGCTCCTTGGAAACCTATGGGGCAGTTATACCGTCCTATTCGATAGGGTCGCTATGAGTCTGAATGGACTAGATGGCAACGTTGTTTTTTTTTTTTTTTTTTTTTTTTAGTAAATATTACGGGACAGAGCCCTTTATAAACAGTTCGTTTTTTCCCCTCCAAGTTTTAAAAACAGTGAAGACAATTTGCTTGTTTAAGTCATCGGTCCTGACAAACGAGCCACCATGTCCCTGTGTCTTCTGCGACGGCAGTGAAATCGTACACGGCCACGGCTTGCCAGTTTCTGTTCTTTAGGAGAAACAGGTGGTGAATGAAGAAAACTGCCCGATTCCGGAAGCAAGCTACTGGGAAAGGAATTTCTACTGTTTTGACAGTTTACTGAAAATTTTTTTAGTCTGCCAGAAAATTAAAAAGCATCCAAACTGCTCTTTATTTAAAGGCTTCTGTGCTAGTTTGACCCTTCCTGTTTGTTTGTTTGCCCACAGCCCTGTAAACACAAACTCCTCCTGGACGGAGGTGGTGTTTTCTGGGCTTTTCCAGCACCGACGAGCTCCTCCCTTGCCTCTTCTCTCCTCCAGCTGCTCGGTTATCCCACGCTCCACCTCCCACCCCAAGGCAGCCCTCCACCGGCCTCTGATTGGTGCACAGCGCAGCCTCGCCTTTTAGGGACTGTTGTTGGGCTTTTGAAGTGATAAAGGAAAGGGTCCAGTGACTGCTTTTATCCACCAATCAAATATTTTCCCGACGGATCCCAAAATATTCCGGGGCCAATGAAGGGGAAAGGCCGAGACGCCTCTGCGGCTCCTTGGGAAGGCAGAGTTTCTAAAGTGGAGGCGGGAGGGGCGGAGCTGCGGGGCGCTGGGTGGCCGCCAGCCCCGAACCTGTCCCCGTCCGTGCCACCGTCGGGATTTGTCTAGCGACGCGTGCCCTAGCAGGGGTGTGTTGGGGGGAGTCCTCTTTCCGACCATCAAAATGGTTATCAAAGTTTTTGTTGCCACATCTTCTGGGTCCATAGCGGTAGGTGTCTGGTGGAATTTGGGGGCTTTCTTCCTCTACTCTTCCGAGTAACTCAGAGTTGGAGTAGGATGAGCGGGTAGGGCCGAACGTTGGCCTTAAATTTCTTTTTTGAGGAGTGTGTAAGTAAACCGTGGCTCTGCAGTAAGCGTGGGTGCCCTTGCTTTATTCTGTGTCTGTTTTAATGGTGTCGGAGAAGCGTGTGAAATGTGGAATCTGGGGTAGCTGAGTGTGAAAGGGGACTCGAGGAAGGGGGCGTGTTTGATACTAGAATTTTAAAAAGGTGATTTGTATCAAGGTTTTTTTTTTTTCTTTTCTTTGGAGTGTTTTCTGCCATTCATCCTGCAAGAGTTAGACTAGTTTAAAAAGCACTTTGTAAAACACTATTTGGAGCGTGTGATGAACTCTAGGATGGGAGTATTTGCATATGCAACGAAATCAAAAGTGTAAAGTTAGCATGTGTAAGCCTATTATTTGGGGACGATGATGTCACAGCCACAAGAACAAATACTCCTAAGACCATGGTTTTAAAAGCTCTAGGAGTTCAAATAGACCAAAAATAGGTACTTAAACTCTTATTACACGGGTTTGTCTGAGTTCTTTGAGACCAGGCTCTGAATTATCCATTCACCTCCCAACTCTAGGTTCACTCTGTGCCATGTAAACCTGTCTTAATTAAGAAATCGGGGTAATGGAATGACTCATTCCTCCTTTGAAACAATTTACACTCTTTGATTCTGGGCTTGATCTGTAAAGTGATCTGGGACTGATGTTTTAGAGTAGCATTGTAGCAAAAGTTTAGGAGGGCTGTGGAGTGAAAAAAGAGCCCTAGTGCTCAGTGGTTAAGCGCTGGGCTGCTAACGGAAAGGTCGGCTCTGTGGTTCGAACCCACTAGCCGCTTCTTGGAAGAAAGACGTGTCAATCTGCTTCGGTAAAGATTTACAGCCTTGGAAACCCTATGGGCGGTTCTGCTCCGTCCTATAGGGTCTCTATGACTCGGAATTGACTCCACAGCAGTGGGTGGAGAGAAAAGATTTATTAATCCCCAGACATGGAGAGCAACAAGGGGGCTGTTTCCTTTTATGTCAGGTTCCTGGGTGATCTCTGGTTGCAACCCGGATTTCAGCAGTCCCTCAGCCAAACACGACACCATCAGGAAAGGGCTGGCAGGGTAGCAGCTCCAGCGGTAGCTGTTGAATTCACCACTGGCAGCCCTGAATGTTTGTGAGGTTTCCAGAGAGGGTGAGAAGAAAACAAGAGAGAACAGCTTCGTAGTCACTTCTGTGCACAACTGATCAGCAGTTGTTTAAGTGATTTCTAGAACAGGTGAATGGAGAAAGATGGGTAAAAATCCCTAATGTAAGATTTCCCTGCAAATCTTTTGTGGTTATTGATGACCTCAGAAACTTTTTGTTGATCTACAACGAGTACATTTTTGGATTATTTAGATAAAAAGATTATTTTTTGAGGAACATGGTTTTAGTTGGCTTTAAATGATGCTAATGCTCATTGCTGGCAAAATTTATATTCTATAAACTTGGCCTGAGTGACTCTTTGAGTTCTTTAGAAGGCGGTGAATAAATTTATGGATTACTCAGGATTATTTGATGTCCTATGTTCTTGATGTTTGGGAGCACGACTCCGTTAGCCCTGGAGTATCTAGAGGGGCGCCATTCATTCCAGGATCTTGGAAAAGCCGAGTTATTTCTGGTTCCCTAATCAAATGTTTTGGTGCGCTTGTAACAGGGTGACTTTGGGAAAGTTATTTCACCTTGCCGAACCTCAATTTCCTTATCTGTAAAATGAGGATGAGAATAGTACTCACCTCATAATGTTATCATGAGGACTCAAGAAATAACGTGTGTGGGAGGCCTGGCATGGTGTTGGGTGCTTAGTGGGCACTCAGTAAATCTTCTTCAGTTAATATTATAGTTATTAGCTATTGTTAGTTAATTAATACTAGTTAATATTTTAATTTCCAGAATTATTAGTTATAATATTAGTCAGTGTTAGTTAATATTAATATTATTATAGTTGTTGTAATTACTAGTTTTTATAATTATTACTTGACAGTACTTAACAACAACAACAACATAATTATTACTTAATGTTATTTAGTAGATCTGGGTCTATGATGATTATGTTTTTTGTCCAAAACCACAAAAATGGGAGAATTTCTGTTTTTGTCTTAAAGAATGATACCTGATGGCCCCCAACTGTCAGCGCTAATGATTTTTAGTGGGTAGGTGAGGATATTTCACCCAAAAGCTTCTTTGTAGGAGAACGCCCTGGTGCTCATGCTAGGCATGGGGTGGTTGGTTGGCAAAATGGATTCTTCCCTGATGCCTAGTCAGCAGGGCATTAGGACTTCTGCTGAATGAATGAAATAGATGAAAAAGGAAAAAACAAGTTTTAATGTCTTTATAAGAAATTAAAAAAATATGCAGCTATGCATTGTATCTCTGGAGCCCTGGTGGTGCAGTGGTGAAGAGGTATGGCTGCTAACCAAAAGGTTGCAGTTTAAATCTACCAGTCGGCGCTTGGAAACCCTGTGGGGCAGTTCTACTCTGTCTTATTGGGTCGCTGTGAGTCAGAACCGACTCAATGGCAACAGTTCTTAAAAAAATTAAAACAATTTTTTTTATTAACCTTTGACTCTGAAGAGCTATTACATATTATACCACGTCATGGAGGGGTTGGGATTAAGAGATCCTGGGGAGTAGGAGAAGACGTATGCCTTCTTGTATGACCTTCCTCTCTTATGGAGGCTCCTTTGCCACTGTGGGGTTTGGGGAGAAGGGGAGGGAGGACTGTCCTCACTGTCTTCCAGATAGGCGCTCCTTGTGGGGACAGTCCTTGGAAACATGATCTTTAAAGACAGCCCCTAATGGTGGCCCCTGGGTTTCAGAATCCTCTCTCCCGTCTTGATGGACGATGTAAATATGTTGGAATAAACATGGCTCTTGAATTAGATTGACTTGGATGTAAACCCTGGAAAATTAACGAATTCGTCCGTCAGAGCCTCAGTTTTCTTATTTTACAATGGTAACGAGAAAGCTATTGTGAAGTTGAATGAGATGAGGATGTGCTGGGTGTCTGACAGTGTAGCTTCTCAAATGATGGTACAAAATGCGTTTCCATGCATCTTCTTATTAAACTCTCACCAAAACCCTGTGTGGTGAAGGTGGTGGTATAGTCATTTGGCAGATGAGGAAATTGAAGATCAGAGCCCTTGCTCAGACAGCAACCGTTGGAGGCAGGGCGAGAACACAGGTTATCACTGGCTCAAATCCTGTGTGCCTTTGCTACAGTACGGTGACCTCAGTTGGGAAGGCTCCAAACTGTACAAGACAATAAACAGGAAGTGCCGAGTGGGTGGCACGAATAGGCCACATGTGATAACAGCTCCGGCAGCTCCAGCAGCAAGTAGCTTCAGGGCAGAGAAGGACACTATCCTATAAGTAAATGTCACAGGATATGAGCCTCCGCTGAGCTCCCAAAGGGTCCAAACGGTGGCACAGATGCCAAGTACCCCTAGATCTTCCAGAGGTGAGATCCATGATAGGTGGTGCAGCCTGTGGGGCCTGCATCAGCCCTCGCACCTCTGAGGGTGTAGAAGGATGTAGAAGTCCTCACTCAAGCCGAGAGAGAGGCCATCAGGCTATGTCCTTGGGGGTCCACTCAGGTGGCCATGTGAGCAAGAGCTCTGCTCCCACAAAGAAGGCCCAGCAGGGCTCCCTGAAGAGGGACCCCACTGACAGGGAGGGTTGCAGGAGAGAGGGGCCCAACTCTAGAGTCAGGCATGGTGTGTGTGTGGGTGGGGGGCGGTGCGGGCAAAGGCCACAGTGCTGGCCAGGTGAACTCATGCGTTCCCTCACTCTTCCCTTCCTGGGTTGGGCCCTGAGGCCCCCTCTGCAGGCTCCCAGACCCAGGTGAACTCAGGGGCTCCTAACAGCCTGATGAACTATGCATTTGGCCCAATTTTAGTTACTGGTGTTTGGGGTGTTCTTTCAGAGGAGCCAACAGATTTTGTTTTTCTTCTTTTGGCGGAGGAGGACAGAGAAATCACAACACAATACCGTGTGTCCACCGTTCACTTCGCTTACTGTAGATGCAGTTGCTTGCCTTGTGAGGAATAACAGTGAGATCCTCCTGTCTCATTGTCTCTACCCCCCTTTCCTTTCTAATAGAAGAAATATAAATCAGGATTTTTTGACATGTTTTTCATCTATTCAGAAATAGTGGAATAAAATAAAATCTTCTTTCCCTCCCACCTCAAGCCCTGAGGCATGATGAACAGAAATGGAAATAATGTTGGTGAGGTGGCTGCGTCCTTTGCCAGCTACCGCTTCCCAGCTGGACTCGGGCTCCTGGGAGGGTGTGTGAGAAGGGTTTTGGAAAAAGATAGGGGTTTGGCCAGATGAATGATGTTGTCTTCCGAGTATTTAATTAAATGTAAACATGCCTAAAAATGAAAATACCTCTATTCTTGAAACCGCAAAGTTACCTCTGGAAATACCTAAAGGAATCAGTAATTCATGAAATGTCACAAATAATCATTGACAGTTTGGAAAGGGTTTACAGAGAAATCGATTCATTAAAATAAAAATTTCATCCAACAACATGTCATCAGGTCTGATGGGATTTTGTAATATTAAAAAATGAAACCATGAAGCTGTGGAATTTGGAGTTGAGTTTCCGCGAGGAGGGGCGTGGGCTGGCAGAGCCCAGCTTCAGAGCACAGGTGTCTGTAAGTAGTTCGGCCCCTTTGGTTCTTTCGGCTGTGACACTCAGGAGGGTGTCAGCGAGAGCCCTGATGCCAGAGGTTTAGGGGAAGTTCCATCATTCTGTGCCTTTCTGTAGGACTTTTGTTTTTCTTTTTTGTCTGCAATGTGTCCAAACTGAAATACATGTCTTGGCTGAGTCTTACTGACTGTTAGTGCTGTATTGTAGCAAACAGCAGCCTTTATTTATCTAATGCTTCTGGTCACAATATTTTTATTACGTTGATGGTACAAGTGTAAACAATTAAAAAATTAAATGTGTGATTACTGTTTATATATATGCATATATAATTTTATACACACACATAACACACATGCACACACACACACACATACACACACACACACACACAACACACACGTATTGGAGCCCTGGTGGCGAAGTTGTTGAGAGATATGACTGCTAACCAAAAGATCGGCAGTTCGAATCCACCAGCTGCTCCTTGGAAACTATGGGGCAGTTCTACTCTGTTCTGTAGGGTCATTATGAGTCAGAATTGACTCAACAGCAATGGTTTTTTTTTTTTTTTTGTATTTATATAAAAGGTAACCACACATTTACTTTTTCATTGTTTAATAAGTAACAATAATTTCTTTTTAGTGGTGATTTGATTCCAGGGCTTAAGCATACATATGGAGCCCTGGTGGCACAGCAGTTAAGAGCTTGGCTGCTAACTAAAAGATCAGCAGTTTGAATCCACCAGCTGCTCCTTGGAAACCCTATGGGGCAGTTCTGCTTTGTCTTATAAGGTTGCTATCAGTCGGAATCAACTCGACAGCAATGGCTTTTTTTTTTAAGCATCCATATGTGTCTTACTTTTCCTTATGTAAGGAATACTCTGTAAAGTCATTGATTGAGTCATTAATTTTAAATAGAATTTTTTTTGTTTGTTTTTGGAGGGGGATTGGTAATATAGGGCTCTAAGAGGAGTCCTTGACTGGTGCAGAGAGTTAAGCACTTAACTATTAACCGAAAAGTTGGAGGTTTAAATCCACCCAGAGGTGCCTTGGAAGAAAGGCCTGGTGATACACTTCTGAAAGGTCACAGCCATTGAAAACCCTATGAAGCATAGTTCTACTCTGACACACATGGGGTAAACAACTGGTTAGATTTCTAAGAAAGGAACTGAGTTTAACCAAAAGAGAGTTTCAATCTAGGCATTAGGTATGGGAAGGGTGAGTACCTTTTACAGCGTTTATTTGAAATCCTCACGGTCTCGTCCTTCTGCGGATAAACAAATTACATGAAAATGACAGGGGGTGCTTGTACCCTTGTAAAACATTTTAATGACTTGTTTTCAGTATGAGGCAATATTCTGTTCAAGGACTGTTTTTTGAAAAAAGTAAGATATTAGATAATTTGTGTTAAGGAAAATTCTTATTTAAAATTTTAATCTTACTTTAAAATATGGTCATATTTTTTGCCTCTTCTTTATCATCCTTAGTGTGTTCTGTATTTAGATTGTACATTTTTAATTCTTTATTTTCACCCACACAATCAGTTTATGAATCTGTTCACATGAAGGGCTTGGCACAGTGTCTTTTGCAGATTAGAGAGTCAGCAAGTAACTGCTTATCGATTATTTGACTGATTACTCTTTTTGTAAATCTCTCCCAGGGATTCTTAAAATGGAGTCTCTGGAATTTGCTGCAACTAGTTTAACAGTGTTTATAAAAGCTGGCATTATCCCTTGTCCTGGAGTGAATTCTTTGAAGAGAGAAAATTATTTGTAATTGTTTATAGGGCAGGCTTTAATTTAAAGATAGCGCATTAATACGAAATGGCAATTGGTAGACACAACTGTTACATATGAACCACGGGTGGAAAGGATACTTGTCTGTTCTTTCTGAGGTGTGGCTGGCGATCTGCTCTCAGTTAAACAGAGTGACGTGTGAATAGGAAAGGGTGAATTCCTGGGAGAAAAGGATTAGTTACTCTTTTATGTGCTAGGAAAAATATCCATCCGCTTTTTCTAGTCTTTCCCCTTCCCCTTCCCCTCCCAGTAATTTCTATGTGGGCTCTCTAATTTTCTGTATTTATTTCTAAAACTACTTGTAGATAAATGTGACTCGTGCTCCTATTTTCATAATTTTGAATGATGTGCATTTTAGTATAAAGTATACTTGGTGTTTTAGTTTCAAAGCAAATTGTCTTTTTTCTCTCCTTTGCGTCTCTCAATCGTAACTCTTGTCTTTCTTGCTAATCTTCATTTACTTTTTGGTCATGGAACCTTAGCAAAGCTTCAAGTATGGTCCAGTTCAGCTTTCCTGTGGATTTAAAAAATATTTTGAAGATCTCAAATAAAAGATGCAATGATGAGAACATTACTATTCTTGTTAGGCTGATTGTACCGTAATTTAAACATAAATGAGATTAAAATTTCAGAATTTAAGTAACCACTCCGTTGATATTTTATAATGAAGTATGATCTTATTGTTTTCCTTGTTTAAATATTCAACAAAATTATAGGTATTGTACAGTATATCTGGAGCAAGTATTTAATTTATGTAAATATAAACAGTATTTTTCAAAAACAGGGTAATTATTATCTTTCTTTACTCTCAACCAGATTAGGAAGAAACAGCAAGAAGTAGTGGGCTTTTTGGAAGCTAATAAAATCGACTTTAAGGAATTAGATATAGCTGGAGATGAAGATAATAGGAAGTGGATGAGAGAGAATGTACCTGGAGAGAAAAAACCTCAAAACGGGATTCCTTTGCCCCCGCAGATCTTCAACGAAGAGCAGTATTGTGGGGTGAGTATTCAGTTTCTTTGAAAATTCTTCTGCTTGTGTGTTTATCAGAAATTGTTCAAAGCAGATTAATTTTGAGATAGCGTTTGAAATTGTTCACAATTTATAGATCATGATGCATTTTTACCATCTGTTATGGATTGAATTGTGTCCACCAAAAATGTGGCTAGGCCATGATTCCCAGTATTGTGTGACCATCCTCCACTTTGTGATCTGATGTAATTCTCCTAGCCTTTGTGATGTTAATGAGGCAGGATTAGAGGCAGTTATGTTAATGAGGCAGGACTCAATCTACAGGATTAGGTTGTATCTTGAGTCAATCTCTTTTGAGATATAAAGGAGAGAGGTGATCAGAGAGGAGAGGGACCTCCTACGGCCAAGAAAGAAGAGCTGGGAGTGGAATGCTCCTTTGGACCCAGAATCCTTGCGCTGAGAAAACCCTAGACCAGGGGAAGATGGATGACAAGGACCTTCACCCAGAGTCGACAGAGAGAGAAAGTTTCCCTGTAGCTGGTGCCATGAATTTGAACTTCTAGCCTCCTAAACTGTGAGAGAATGCATTTGTTTGTTAAAGCCATCTGCTTAGTACTGCTTATCTGTTAAAGGAGTACTAGTTAACTAAGACAGAATTTGGTACTGGAAGTGGGGTGCTGCTCTAACAGATACCTAAAATGTGGAAGTGGTTTTGGAATTGAGTAATGGGTAGAGGCTGGAAGAATTCTCAAGTGCCTAATAGTAAAAGGCAGATGGCCTTGAAGAGACTGTCGGTGGAATTATGGACATCAAAGACAGTTCTAGTGAGAGCTCAGAAGGAAATGAGGAGAGTTGTAACACCAGAGATGGTGCAGACGGTGAGAAGCAGCAGCAGAGAAATGGCAGCAGAGAACCAGAAGACCACTGCAAGATGGAGTGGGAGCCGACCCATGAAGCAAGAGAGCTGATTGCCTTCAGGCTGGAGGCTTTTTGGCAGAGTGGGGTGCCTCTATGCACTTGTTGGGGGAGCTAGGCTTGCTGACCAATGGAAAAAGAAAGCTGAGTGCCTTCTGGCCAGGGTTTACTGGTGGAATGGGGTGCCTCCAGGCACTTATCAGCGGAGCTAAAGAGCTTTAGAACACTCACCTGAGCAGGGCAGATACCAGGTGGCCCAAGAGGCTCGAGAGGCTGAGGGCCCGAGGGGCCAAGAGGCCAAGGAACTAGGAAGCAGAAGCTGAAGAGACAAGCAGCACAGGAAGCAGAGCTGCCTCAGTCTCAAAGGGTGGAACTATGGCCTGCTGGGTCTCAAAGGGTGGGGCTATGAACCCCAGGTTTCAAAGAGTCAGATCTTCACCAACTCTGTTCTGGAGCATGGGGCTTCCATTTATGAGTGCCAGGGGTGGGGCTAGATCTATTGCCCAAAGCTGAGGGGTAGCGTTCCCACACCCAGTGGGCAGGAGAAAGAGGTCTGCCAGGGCTGAGGGGGTAGGGTTGCCACTCAGGTGGTCTAGGAGAATGGGGCTGCCCAAATCCCAGGGAGCAGAGTTGCTATCACAGTGGGCCTGGAAGGTGGAGCTAAAGCCCAGGGCCAATGGGCCTCCACCCAGAATCTGGAGAATATGGCCAACACTCAGAGTGTGGAGGGCAGGGCCATTGCCTAAATGGACTCAGAGAACAGAGGATTATTTTCAAGCCTTGAGAGCTAATGTAGTGTGTTCTGCTGACTTGCTTGATGCCTGTTATACCTTCTTTCCCGCAATTTCTCCCATTTGTAATGGAAATGTCTGGCTTGTGCCTGTTCCACCATTGTACTTAGGAAGCAGATAACTTGTATTCTAGATTTCACAGATGAAGAGGAATTTTACCCCAGGATGGAATTTGAACTTGGAGTTGATTTAAGACTTTTGGGATGACATGATGGGGTGAATGTGTTTTACATGTGGCAAGGACATGAATTTTTGGGGGCCAAAGGGTGGAATGCCGTGGGTTGAGTTGTGTTCCCCCAAAATGTGTGTCAACTTGGCCAGGCTATGATTCCAAGTATTGTGTGGTTGTTCTCCATTTTGTGATCTGATGTACTTTTCCTATTTGTTGTAAATCCTAACCTCTATGATGTTAATGAGGCAGGATTAGAGGCAGTTATGTTAATGAGGCAGAAATTAATCTACAGGGTTATGTTATATCTTCAGTCACTCTCTTCTGAGATATAAAAGAGAGAATTGAGCAGAGAGGAGAGGGCTCATCCAGAAAGAAGATCCTGGATTGGAGTGTATCCTTTGGACCTGGGGTCCCTGCACTGAGAAACTCGTAGACCCACGGGAAGATTGATGACAAGGATCTTTGCCCAGAGCCAACAGAGAGAGGAAGCCTTCCCCTGGAGCTGGTGCCCTAAATTTGAACTTCAAGCCTCCTAAACTGTGAGAGAATAAATTTCTGTTTGTTAAAGCCATCCACTTGTGATATTTCTGTTATAGCAGCGCTGGATAACTAAAACACCATCCAATAATCAATACTTAAGATTTGAAAGCAATGGAAACAATAGTTACATTAGACTGCATTTATAAGTATTAGGATTACAATTCCAAGACATATTTTGGGAGAACATAATTCAATCCCTAACATATAAATATGAGATAAATTTATCTAAATAATTTCAAAAACTGTTCTGGACATTTTTATCACAAGGGCAATTTTTATTTTATACACATAAGGGTTCATTTCACCATAAAATTGCTTTCCCCCCAGAGTTTTCAAATTGTGCTTAATAAGTGAAATTGTTGGAAAGAAGCATTTTTAAAAAAAGTGAAAGGATTTTAGAATATTAGAACTGGAAGTTATCTTAGGGCTCATCTAAACCATTGAAATCATTTTCAGATGAGGAAATCAAGGCTCAGTAAAATACAGAGAATTAATCTGTATTGTCTGCCACTCATCTGCCAGTTTGTCGTACTGTGATGGCTTGCGTGTTGCTGTGATGCTGGAAGCTATGCCACTGGTATTTCAAATACCAGCAGAATCACCCATGGTGGACAGGTTTCAGCTGAGCTTCCAGACTAAGATAGACTAGGAAGAAGGACCTGGCAGTGTACTTCTGAAAAAATCAGCCAGTGAAAACCTTATGAATAGCAGTGGGACATTGTCTGATATAGTGCTGGAAGATGAGCCCCTCAGATTGGAAGGCACTCAAAATACAACTGGGAAAGAACTGTCTCCTCAAAGTAGAGTCTACCTTAATGACGTGGATGGAGTCAAGCTTTCAGGACCTTTAGTTGCTGATGTAGCATGACTCAAAATGAGAAGAAACAACTGCAAACATACTGTTATAATCAGAACATGGACTGTATGAAGTATGAATCTGGAAAAATTGGAGGTCTTCAAAAATGAAATGAAATGCATAAAGATCAATATCTTAGGGATTAGTGAGCTGAAATGGGCTGGTATTGACTATTTTGAATCTAACAATCATTTGGTCTACTATGCTGGGAGTGTCAAATTGAAGAGTAATGACATTGCATTCATCGTCAAAAAGAACATTGCAAGGTCTACCCTGAAGTACAACACTGTCAATGATAGGATAACATCCATACACCTGCAAGGAAGACCAGTTAATATGACTATTATTCGAATTTACGCATCAACCACTAAGGCCAAAGATGAAGAAATTGAAGATTTTTACCAACTTTTGCAGTCTGAAATTGATCAAATATGCAATAAAAATGCATTGATAATTACTGGCGATCGGAATGCAAAAGTTGGAAACAAAGAAGAAGGATCAGTAGTTGGAAAATATGGCCTTGGTGATAGAAACAATGCCAGATATTGCATGATAGAATTTTGCAAGACAAACACAAATAACTTTTTTCAACAACATAAACGACGACTGTCTTCAGCTGAGTTTTCTAGAGAAGCAAAACTAGTGCAGCTTATGTATATATACATATTTCATAGTTATTTATGGAGCCCTGGGGGTGCAGTGGTTAAGAGCTCGGCTGCTAACCAAAAGGTCGGCAGTTGGAATTCACCAACTGCTCCTTGGAAACCCTATGGGGCAATTCTACTCCATCTTATACTGTCACTATGAGTCAGAATTGACTCGATGACAACGGATTTCTTTTGGTCTGTATTTATTTATATCAAGGAAATGGCTCATAGGATTGTAGAGGCTGGAAAGTCCCCGTCCATAGGTCAGGCTGGAGGCTTCTCCTGACTCATGTTGCTGCAGGGCTGATGTACCCAAGTTGGGCAGGTCAGACGACAGGCCTATGGCTCACAGGCACAGAGGCTGATGAATCCCAAGATTGGCAGGTAAGCTGCTAGATCAAGTCCCAAGAACCAGAGGTCAGATGCAGGATTCAGAGTGAGCAGAAATCAGTGAAGCTTTGCCAGGAAGTCCACATATATTGGATGCAGGCCACACCCCCAAGAAAACTCGGTTTCAACTGATTGTCTTCTTATAGCAGATCTCATTATGGAGGTGATTACATTATATCAGATCTTATTAGGAGGTGATTATATCATTACATAGCTGCCAAACTACATCATAACTACCAAACCACTGAGAATCATGGCCTAGTGAAGTCTACACACAATGTTAACCATCACAGTCCACCCTTTGTCAACTTGACACCCATATGCATCTCCCTAAACCATACATGATCTCTAAGTAAAGACAATTATAAGGTTATACTTGTGCCTAACATGATACAAGTAACACGTTTACAACTGAAAACATGCTAGCCATGTTTACGTCTTATATTTTATAAGTGAGGAAAACAAAAATATTTGATGCACACATACAAGGAAGAAATATTCATAACAATTACAGTCCTTGTTTCTGCAACTGGTCATATGGTCATAGCTGGTATTTAGAACCACCTTCTTCCACCACACATTCAGTATTCCCTTTACCCTTAGCAAGCACCTCAGCTGGTCATGGTTCTTTGCCTAGTGAGATGACACAAACCTTTATTCCTGAAGGGTCTGGGCCATTAGCAGTCATGTTGGAATTGGGTTGAAGTAGTCTTCCATTG